TACAGCGACAGCACCCCCGAGCGCAGCTGCTACTTTGCCATGGAGGGCGTCCATGTGGTCTTCCAGGAGGAGGCCTTCCACATGGCCGTGCACAGCTTCGACGAGACCAGCCGCCACCTCGACCTCGACGATGTGGTGCGAGCCCTGCAGGCCAGCGAGCGGGGTGAGTGCGCGGAAGCGCCGCCTGGGGAGGGCCATGTTGGTGGTTGGGTTTTGCCATTACCCATCCTGGGTTGTGTTGGATTGTGCTCCTGTGCTTCTTCCACCTGTAGGTCTCCTGGGGCTATGCCAGGGTGTCACGATGCACCAAGCTTGGCTTCATGCCTCCAAAATAGTCCTGCTGCCGTTTGGGATCGGTGCTGGGACTTGGACTCAAAAGAGAGTTTGGGGCTCTCCCAAAGGGGTGTCACTTCTCCACCTGTTGGGGCAGGTGGCCACTGGAGCAGTACCAGCTATGTGCCAGTGCGACCATGAGGAATTGGGGAGGGGGGCTTTACTAGGGTGGTTTTATGGCATAGCAAGAAATCAGCTTTTCCCCATGATAGCAGCAAGACTGAAACGACACGCGGCTATTCGCAGATCCTGGGCAGCAAATCTGTTACTCACCCTGGGAGATTCTTAAGTGACTCTGTGGAAGTGCAAAGCCATGTTTTCCCCTCAACTTGCTGTGTCTTTCACAGCAATCTTCTGCCCCTCTCCTGCCATGAGGATCCCCACTGAGTGCTTCATAAATAACAAATGAGCTCGGTGGAAGGGATCGTATCGGGGTGTGTGTGTGCTCCGGCACTCCTCGCGTGCGTGCCATAATTTTGCCACCAACTGTGAGCAAAACACTGTGGAGATAAATGGCTTGTAAAGCACGTTGGAAAATAACCCCTGGGCTGCACGAATAAAGTAGTAAAATGCTTGAAGGGCTTTGGAACATTTCGAGTACATTTAATTACAAATTGAAATGCGATCTTGCCAAGTGATGCACAAGCGCGGGAGCGTGTCAAAAAGGTATTTTTCAGTCAGAGGCTTTACCAGCCCTTGGTTTTTTTAATAAATTGTTTCCAAAAAACATTTGTTTGTTTCAAAAGTCCATTTGAGTAATGGACTTTTAGAGATCAAATACGAGACAGTTCTTAGCTGTGTTCCAGCAGAGACCTAAATGCTAAGAATATTTTAGTCTCTTTCTACATCCCTCGTTGTAGAATCTTACACTGTGATGAGAACTGAGCAGATATAAATCATGCTGTTTGTGAGCGACGCAGCTTGTGTCTCCTTGCTGGAAGCTGGGATGCTTCAATGGTCCAGGTTTGCACTAGTGATGTAGTTATGCAGGTGTGAGGTTCCTTAATATGTATAGGACCATATTTGTCTAATAACAGATGAATCTTTAGCTCTCTCCTTGCAAATACGTAAGCAGGTTCTTGAAATGGAGCTTTCCTGCAAATACAGCTTGGGACAATGTAGTGAATGAAAAGAAGGAAACTTCAGTGCTAGAGGAAACTGCTAAGTATGGAAGATTTCTTTTCTTTTTTCTTTTTCTTTTTTTTAATCAAGCAAACTTTTGTGCATATTTGTGTTTCCTTGTGCTAAGAGCATAAAAATAGATTATGGCAAGGAAAGTGTTAACCCTCAGTCAAAAGGTGCTCTGGTTGTGCTGCTGGATCATGAGTGGTGGCTGAAGACCCGGGTAGAGATGTTTGCTTCTTACTAAAGTTAAATGCTTTGCTGAACTGGCACCTTGTTGAGCTCTGTCTTGCATTTCAATATCATTCTTTTAACTTGCTATTACTGGAGTAAAGTAGCACTCTATTACTTCTTTCTCCCTTTGTACATGGGGGATCTTCTCCCTTCATCTCACCTGTGCTTATTTGTGCTTTGGTTCATGCTGCTACTGCTAAATGCAGTAAATGAGACTCTTCCATCTCCAGCTGTGCGCTTACTGACTTTATGGGCTGCCTGCATGGCTTGCCTTGCACATGCCTTTTGACCTGCCTCCCATTGTCAAAATAAGACTGTCAAAATACCTGGTAAGTCATTCATCATGACAAGGATTCACCCCACACCTTAGCTTACCAGCTCATTTCTCCTTGGGGCTCCCCAGAGGTCCCACTACCTGATGAGATAATGTTGCTGCTAGGGAAGGTATTTGGGTGGTGCTGTCCAAATCACTTCACAAGTTTTACAAATGTTCAGGCAAGATGTCACCTTGGATCTCTGCTGGTGGACATCCCACACTGACCTTTCCTTCAGCAGCAAGACGTGGGAACAGGCTTTGAGAGAGATATGGCATGAGAAAGAAGTTGCCCCATCGAGTGAGAATCATGAGCTTTGCTAGGCATCTTCTAGTGACTCTGACTGGAGGAGTGTTAAGGTGTTATGTGCTCTGTGTGACCTGCCATCACCCCTGGCTGGAGCTGCAGGCCTGTGAGTGGCCGGGGTTGGCCCAGGAGGCCAAATCCCCACCGTATGGGGCCTTGCACTGAGCTGTTTGGGCTGGAACATGGGATCAGGAGCCAGGGACGCATTTGCCCGCATGAAGTGTTTGCCAGCAGATGCCTGTCCAGGTCCTGGAGCCGTTTCAAAAGCCTTTAGCCTTTCCACAACAAAATTATGATGGAAAATATGGTGATGGAAGTTAACTACCTCTTTTTAATGAGTGTCATTGGTAGCTGCAGGTCCCTTTTGAAGGCTCAGGGAGAAAAGGCAGCACTTGCTCTTTTCTTTCTGGAGTTAACACTAAGTATTTGCAATATGAGTTAATAATTGTCTTCAATTAATTCAAAATATTAGCGTTAGACTTACTTTATGTGTGTAGTGTACCAGAGGGAAAACATTTCGCGTATATGAATGTGTACATTTGTGTGTATACAGTAGTAATGTTTACATGTTAGGTAAACATAATATGTATTTGTGAAAGGCTTCAAGAGATCTGCCCATAGCTAATTTGCCTCAGAATCTTGAAATATGTAGTCTTCTGGACTTAAAAAAAAAAAAAAAAAAAAAAAAGAAAACACATCCAATAGTTAATATCAGTTGCCTTACATTCTTTTAGAGACTTACAAGATAGGGCTTAATGTATTTTAAAGTAGATTGTTTTTCCTCCACTTTTTCTTTATCCCTCCTTGCTCAAGATATTTTACTAGTGTTATGGGAATTGCTTTGATTTCCATCCACAGATTATAATTTTATGGCAGGTATGAATTTTAAAGGCAAAGTCAAGGGAGAATTGAGAGGATAGCAAGGCAACACTTCCCAAGGAAATCTCTCACCTATACTGAAAGTAGCAACAGGGAGACAAATCCATTCCTGATGCAAGTCTGGAAAAAATTTGATCCAAATTTTATTCTAAGATTTGTTTTTTCTTTTCCTTCATGTTGATACCTCACAATAGTCATGAAATATGTCTTGCTCTGTTCCTCTGGAAATTATTGTTACTACTCTGCAGTAATCTGTTGGGCAGAGGTATGCATGGTATAACTTCCCTGAAGTGTGTGGATTTAACAGAATGTGATTTACACCAGGGCTGCATCTGAAACTTTATGCCTATAATGGCATAAACCCAGGAAAGTGATGGGAGAAGATTCATTGTGTGAGAAAAGTTTTGGCCTGTTTGGCCTTTTCTTTTCTTTCTTTGTTTTCTCTCTCTCCCTCTCTCTCTCTCTTTTTTTTCCCCCATAATAACAAACACCAGAGAAGCTGAATGTGGTTTTGATTCAGTTTTATTATTTGGGTAAAAGTATTTGCGTACATTATTGTAGTTTTTAAGTCCTGCCATGCATGACAACATTCTTGGAAATGTGTGTGCAGTTGAATCGTAACTCTAACCGGATCTCTTACGACTCCTCTATAGGATGTAGCCTCATGCATTGATACATGATGGTAGTAGCTTCATACCTATAGCCCTGTGGATGCACACAAAAGTTTATGATGTAGAGTGTTCAGTGCTCAGTGCGAGAGGTATCTTCCCACTGCTGAAGGTCCAGCTTGAGACTATGCTTTTTCTTGGCAGGGAGTAGGGGGACAAGAGGCTTTCAGCTGGGTTGCCTGGAGCTCTTTGCACCCTTGAGAATCACCGGTGGTTGTCCAAGCACCTGTTTAACAGTATGCAGAGCTACAATTGCCTTGCTTCCCCTTCCCTGCCAGGCAGAAAGTGAGATGGGTGGCTGTGCTAGAGATCTGCAGGGATGTGGAGGCTGCTCGGGGGTGCTTGGAGGCTCTGTCACCTGAGCTTTGAGTTGTCCCTGTGTGGATTGCATTTGCAGGCTTGTAGATCCCATTGCAAGACCAAAGCTTAGTGTTCAGTCCACAACAAAAAAGGCCTTGTGGCATTTAATCTTGTAACAACTTTTCATCTTCGTGCACAAAATGTGACACTCATTTTTTTTGCCTGTTTGTATCTACCTGACAAATAAGCTTCCAGTCAAAGGCAGTTGCCTAAGCTCATTGCATTCAACACAGTCATCTGCCAGAGACATTTGTGTCATTGACTCTAGACAGTTGCCTTAGGATGGAGTAAATCAACTACAGAGATGCTGCTCTCCACTGACTGCGGGGATTTCCTGGACAAGAAATTTAACACGAAATGTCTATAGTTTAGGCAGCTAAGGTATAGGTGAGATGAATCAACACCAAACTTTCCAGTGCACTGAAAATTACAGTGGTAATATCACTGTATCATATTCATACTTCACCTTCAGATTGTCTTATCTTCACTATGAAGCCACCATTATGAAACTTTTTGTTACAGTTAACTTTGTGAATATATGCAGTTGAGCAAATGCAAAGTCAGAACTTCACTGCATATTGCACTAGTAAAATATCTCTCCCCTTTTCTTCTCCCCCCCCTTTTTTTTTTAAAGAAAAGTCTTTTTCAGAGGAGGTAAAGGAACATAAAGTTGTTCTGTGCTTGGTACCTGTCTTCTGTGGACTCTTTGTGAAATCAGCTTTATTTGCTAGCTGAGTTGTCATGTTTGTTGCAACATTAGGAGGACAGTTTGGGTTACTGTCTCTGGCAACGTTCAGACTTAACAGACTGTTCTCAAAAGTTCTTGAACTGCTTCTTATCTGTGTTCCATTTTTCTCCACCAGTTGTAATCATGTGTGCCAGCGGTGACACAATCAGGAACATCATGTTAGCTGCTCATCGACAAGGAATGACCAATGGGGACTACGCTTTCTTCAATATTGAACTCTTCAACAGCTCATCATTTGGTAATGTTTTTCCTCCTCAAGTATGTTGCAAGGTCTTCTATAAATCTGGTAATATTTTTAGATCTGCTGGCCTCAAAATATGCCCCCTGGAATCTCAGAATACACTGTCATCTCTCCCTGTTACTGTAATTCCCTTTCGCCTGGGTTATGATACTGCAGGAAGGAAAATAGACATTAGTTTTTATATAGTCATAGGTACCACTGAGTGAATCAGAAGATGTAGCATGACTGTAGTATGGACATTAGTTAGCTTTACTTTGTGCTGGGGATCCACTTGCTTCATTTCTTTTGGCTTTTGATCCCTAACTGTTTCTGCAAAAATATTCATCACTGAAGGGAAATACTAGATGGGACACAGTCGAAATATCATAGAGTAGGATGGATAGATAAAGTGGCTTTTTTTTCCTAAGGAAAAATTATCAGATTTGCGAAGTAAAAGCAGGACTTTAAAAATATAAATTAAATTCATTTGCTTTTTGACTCTACCCACATTTGATAGTATGGCAGTGTGTGACAGAGACCAAACCTCCTGTCAGCTGTTACCAGCTGCCTCGGTTAAATTAAAGTTAATGCTTGAGCAATGTGTTTGCTATCTGTTTTAAACAACGTCAGACTGCTGAAACCGAGGGAAGTGCCTGCCCAAGAACTGCATTTTATTGAAGTGCCAAAATGGCTTTTGGAAGCGCAGTTTCTTTTGCAGGTGCAGGGAAAATAATTTCCCCCCCGCAGGCTGCCTTAACTAATCCAGTACAAAAACAATTTAATTTAAAAATGAAGACCAAGTGGGAGATGAAAAAGAAGAACTTGTTTTCTTCTTTTATGTCCTAAAAAAACCCCTGAAGAATAGAAACAAACACAAAGGATGTGTTTTATCTAATAAATAAGTTGTTGTTAGGGGAAAATCTTTTAAATAAGCTTCTAATTACCCATTTCAAGCCTCTGAAATCACTTTCTAATAGCGCTATCTATTGAAAAACTCTGTGATATGCATATGTTCTTTAAGTTCAGATCATGATTTTGTGTTTGCTGATTTAAATTTGCATCAATTTCATCTCTCTTGAGTTAAAGGAAACCAATTGGCATTGTAACCTTAATCATGACCAGGGTGAAAACTGAAAGTTTTACCCTTACCAGCCACAGAATCATGAAGTTTGAGCCCTTCTGTAGACCATGGACATTTGTCAGACTTGGTTTTTACCTGTGCCTAGACACCACTGATCAAATAACTGTTTCAGGTAGTGTCTCATTGCAGCTGAGATACTGCTGCATTTCTTCTCACAATGAAAATGTCAGATGTGGTTAATCTGACCTTAGATGCAAGTCTGCCTCAGCCAGGCTGCCTTTTGAATCACAGGAGTGTGCTCGCACAGTGCTTCAGCTCCATCTTGGATGTCTGAAGTGGCTGGGATGAATCATTCCCTAGAGTTCATTGTTTCCTTGCCTTGGCTGTAAGCAGAGGCCAGGGTGACTAGCTCAGCCCTGGAGATCTACCAGGGAAGCATCAAAACTGGCTGGGATAGATGTTTCCCAAAGCTGTCTTTGAGTATGGATGTGCTCATTGAGCTCGGCAGCTCCAGGAGGTGGGACACAACATTTTTCAGTTGGTTCACACTGCAGGAGACATCCACTGGGATAGGTACCTCCAGTGATGTAGCCAACGGTAGACTGCACTTGTAGACTGCACACAGACATTTAGTGGGCAGCACTGTGCTGTCCTGCCCTGATGGGGACCTCTACATGCTGCTGTGCTGGGTGCTGGTACCTACTTGGTCTGTGGTTGTGCATGGATCTCAGCATTTTCCTCCTTGAGTCATAGGAAGTCCAGTCTATTTATAGTTTTTCAAAGTAAATAGTTAGAAGTGTTTACCCTGTCATGTTAAATTGTGGCATTTCCTAACACCAAGTTCTTCAGAAACAGTCTGTTTCTTTCTTGATGTGTTTTCCATGAAGAGCAAAATGCAGTTTTGTCAGAAACTGACTTCTATGCAGATGGTCATCCCAGCAAACCTACAGAGAAATGCAGAGAAATTTGCCCCAAAATTTCCTCTTCACAGTGCCTTGAGGTATTGAAGTTACAGAGGCTACAGAATCCAAAACTGGATGCAGCTGGCAAATCACCCTTTCCCCAAGACAAGTTCATATGACTGTATTCTGTTATTGCCCTCTGTTCTGAATGTTTTTAATGCTTCAGAAAGACAAACTTATAAAAAGTCAAGGCTGCAACAATTGCAGTTAAGCACTGGAGCAGGACTACATCCTGTAAAATTATCCATGGAGGAATTTAAATATGTCAATTATTTTAGGAACTCTGTTATAAAAATTTAGCTTCCCTGTTCCCAATTCAGCTGGTTTAGAAAAAGAAGTAAGTATAATAAGTACAGGACAGAAATGTATTCATGTTCTGAGCTTCGGTGCTCTGGAAAAGCTTGTGTCCCATTGAAAGGGAGCCACCCATAGTTACACTGCTGGCTCCATGGCTTTCCTTCTGCTTCCATGTACAGGCTGAGCTCCTTAGGTGTTAGCTTCAACGCTTGAGCTGGGATATTGTTGCTGGACATGGATGACCTTCCTTTGGAAAGCAGGAACAAGGACAGAGTGTGTGTATCAAAAGGAAAAGTGCTACCACTGCTTGCGGTCGTGTTAATAGCAGGGTACGCTGCAGGATGTTGGTTGTTGCCGAGTGTCAGGCCTGATGAATGGAGTCCCAGCATAAATTATCTTGACCAGTTTGTCTTTGAATTGGGAAATAAATCCCTAGGCTAAGGTGGAGGTATCTAGAAGTTTGTCATCAGAGAGCAAAAGAGCTTCAAAAAAAAAGCTATCAAAAAAATTTACTAAGATCACGTATGAATTTTGTAGAGATTTCATTCCTTGCCAGTGCTGACCTATGGTAAAAAGGTTTTATGGGGTAGAAGAACACAGAACAGAGTTTCCATTTAATGTGAATCTTTCTCAGGGCTTAATTGGGACTTGCCCCTTGTGTTGAGAATGACAGGAGTTGCCACAGAGGCAAAAGCAGCATGATAAAAGAGTTTTTTCCCTTGAAGAGAACAGCTCCTGTATTTCCTCCTTGCTTTCTGAGGAAGGATAACAATTGCCTAATTGCCTTCAATGTTAAGAAAAGAGAAGTCTTGTCAGCAGTGTGTGGATGCCAGAGAGGGTGAAACACATGCTCCATATTCACCTCCTTGAGAAGGACTTGGGACTTGGACCATGAAGTCTTGCTCCCACAGCTGCTCAGGTGCAGTCTGGATCACAGTACAAGGAGCACTAAAGCTTTGGCTCCTGGACTCTGTCTCCAGTAGGATCTCCTCTCCCAAACCATTTACTTTTCTTAGGCCAAACAACACAACAATTAAAGTCCTTTAACCAAGGAAGATAGCCACATCCTCATCTCATGGCCCTAAAGGTTTCCCTTCAGAGTTGAGCATGTTCCACAGTTTTCACTTCTGCACTTAGCCATGAGTTTTTGTTGTTACTGTTCCAAAAATAGAATGATTGTCTAGCATTTATTTGTTTGTAAGTATTTAAAGGCTCACTGTTCAAAGCTACTACTGCTCTACTCCTACTCTAGGTCCCTCTGTTTGTCACTCACATAGAATAGGACGAAACCTGATCTGGGCCAGTGTGAATTTTTCCACAGATGTCATGAGTAATTGCATCAAGGTCTCTGGGCCAGTTGGGGTCAGGCCCCATTAGGCAGAAGGGCTTCTTCTAACAATTAACAACCTGTCTTTATATTTTTGTCTTGACTGTTCTGCTTTTTAAAAATCTAGTTACTCTGCTGTGATGCAGAATGCATGTAAATACTTCATAGGAACACATGTAAATACAGCATAGGCAGAACTCCATTTATTTGTTTCTTTCCTATTAGGAGCAGGCCTTGCCTGGCAGGTCCTAGGTAGCTTTCTACTTGACTGCTGTGGGAGAATTAGCTGCACCACCTGCCTCCCACGCAAGGTGATGATCATTCTGCTGTATTTTCTGGAGCCCTTCTGACTGTTCGAGACTGAAAATAGTGTCACTGATGGGGTGATATGGAGTAAAAACTTGGGGTCAGACCCCCTTCCCTCACTTATTCCAAGTGAGTAAATATTCCTGTGTTTGAGATGTGCCTTGTTTTTTGCTGAGAAATGTCTTCTCTTGCTTAGTCTTGAATCCAGCCCTTAAAAGTAAGTGAGCACAGCATGGGAGTAATGTTGTCTTTCTGTTTGCACATTTATTCTGCAGCAGTCACATTAGCTGTTCCTTCCTGCCCTGCTTCCTGCACTTCCTCAAGTGGATTCAGTTCACCCTCATACTTTGCAGTCTCCCGTAGGGAAAAGAGGGAGGACTTTTTGATGGAAAAAGGAAGAGGGCCCTTTAATGATGCCTGATTTGGTGTTAGAATTATGCTTATTTTCCCCCCAGGAAATGGCTCTTGGAAAAGAGGAGACAAACATGACCATGAAGCCAAGAAGGCGTACTCATACCTCCAGACTGTCACTCTGCTAAGGACAGTGAAACCTGAGTTTGAGAAGTTTTCCTTGGAGGTGAAAAGTTCTGTTCAGAAGCAAGGGCTGCACGAGGATGATTACGTAAGTACTTGTTTACAGGCTTCAGGTTTTAGCATCTTAAAAAACACTCTCCTAATTAAAGCAAAAGCTGCACTCAGCTCTTCTCAGGTCAGAAACACCTGGTTTCATTTACGAAAACTCAGTATTGCCCATGTCTTCTCCTTTTGCTTTGTTTGGCAATGTGTGGTGCTTTTTTTGGTTTTGTTTTTCTGTGGGTACAGCAAATACCAGCTAGAATAGACCTACGCACAGTTATCCATGACCAGTTGTCCTGTGTTCAGGACAACTTATTTTATCTTCTCCTAGGACTTTTATTCATTAAAGAGAGATCTCAGAAAATACACGGGCACAATGTATTGCATCTGA